TGTAAACAACGCACAACATAACAATATTAACGATCTCTGGAACAAACACAAGTGAAAAACGGCTTACGTTTCCCCCATGCCAAAGTCTCCATCTTGAATGGCAGGTACTGTGCAGAGAGGAGTCATCTTCACAAACTCAGGTTACTTGTGACCTCCTGAAAATAAGCAACATAAATGAAAATGTAATCATTACAAAAATACACATATAAATAAATAAGGAAGTATATAGGTAGATAAATAAATAAGTTATAAAATAATTTAAAAAATACACATCTTGTTCAATCATGTTTGGAACAATGATTATGACACTAATAAAACACGAAACAGTATGAAATTTAATGTTCTATCGTTCCTTTTCTTGTTAAAGATAAGAATTATTACTTCACTAACTAATGTTAACGTTCCTTCAAAAAAAAAATCTTCAATGTATTTTACACTTATATATTTCAATTTTTTAAGATACGCATATTACAAAAGAAAGAAAGAAGAAAATGTGTGACCCTGTAGGGAAGCCACTTATTATACAGGTTATACTGCCACTGATGCTATTGTCGATAATGAATGTGATCGGGGACAAAATATTGCCCAACAACAAAATGAGATAGTAACGCTTTTGACAAAACCAACGAGGAGATCCTGGTGAAAATACCCATTTATAGCTGTTTTAGCTTACATTTGATTATTAAAGAATCTAAGCAAAGCCCATGAAAAGAATGTTTACCAGAACCTTAAGCCCAACCGAGCCTATACATATCTGCCGAGTCACCTACCACAGACATCCAAAAGGTAAGAAGAAAAGAAAGGGGTGAGCTAAAGGTGCCCTTCAGCTGTAAGAGCAATCTGAGATACAGAATGAGATATTAAAAACCCAAAACAGGTTGAATATTAACATATTTGGGATATTTTTTTTTTTTTTTTTTTTTTTTTTTTTACTTGTTTACAGTCCATCGTCCCACTTCAAATCTTCTTGAAATTGATTGATGAATCTTTGAAGAGGATATGGGCAATGTTGACACACCGATGTGAAAGATATCCAGCGATGTTTAGAGGGAGTGGACAGACTGACCGGTGCCTTCATACTACTAAGTACAACTTAGCATTGGTCTCACTTTAAAGTTCTCAGATGTAACTCGATTTTGAATCTTTGTAATGTTTTTGACCTGTGTTTTTAAAAATCTATTATTATCAATTTTATAAAAAACTGCTCAATTTACAGTCACACATACCCTAATTAATTCTGACGCTGTATAACATCATTACAAAATATTGTACACATGAGCTTTATTACTTTAATCTATATTATGTGTAATAATTTGATTGTAGCACATTGTTATTCATATATCCGTGAATCAGACTCGACAATTTCATTGACTTTGTAAACTTTTTTTTCTACCATTGTTATCTAATTGTTTGTGTTTGTTATTTGTATTTGAAATCCAACCTCAAGTTTGGGCTGCAATCGAAGAATAGTAAAAACTTCAGACTCTTAAACCGGGCTATACAAGCCTATAAAGCTTTATCAAACTTAATGTATTGACAATTATTTCATGCAAGCATTGTAAAGCATATTCATCACATCCCATTTACAATACCAACAGTTAATGGCCGTCATTTTGGTGTGTTATGATACTATTTTGAATCTTGATTACTGCAATTATTTTTGGTACAAAAACTTTTGAAATATGCTAAGCTGAATTATCTTAAGGACCAGACTCACCCGGCCCATTTGAAACAAGAACAAAAAACATGTTGGCTATTCATAAGAGAAAGTTTTGAAAACACATTTCTGCTCATTGAGTGCCAAGCAATACAGGCTATACTTACACACAATAACCAAAATCTCATATCCTCTTGTAAAAAAAAATTCTTTATAGTAGCACAGGGAAAAATATAGATAGATGGTGGATATGTTATATCATTATTATAACTCGAATTTACACTTTAAACTGCCGAGGGTCCTCCTCAAAAGAAGATATCCAGAGTTTAATGCCGAAATGGAGAATGGAGTGTCAAAAACCAGAAAGCAAATATACTAATAAAATATACATGATATTTGCTAATAGTCTGGAACAGAGCCAAGACGAGTTTTGAAGAAAAAAAATAGAATGGTAAACATGCGTTAACCTTTTATAAAGTGGTTGCTTTCAAAACTTGCAAAGGCATTTCGTTTCCAGACAAATAATGAATCATATAACATTTCATGCGGTATAGAATCCGCTTCATGAGATAGAAACAATCAGAAAAAAAATGTATTACATATACTAAGCATTCATTGAATATACACTCGCCATTGTAATCATAGCATATCTATTGAGACACCGGTGTACAATTTAAATCGAAGCCATTTGGTGCAGATTTAGTTGCTTTAAGAGAGGAAAGCTAGGCGAGTGTCACTTGATGGATATCAATAATTGACGTAAAATATATATATTTTTTTTCGGGTGGAAATTATGAGATAAACATAATAAATGATGCGAGGAAAAGATTGGCAAGCTTACCATCCTTCAGATTAATCGTCTCAATTTCGAACGGAATCTTGGTGTTCTTGAGGAATAAGATGAGAGCCCGGCAAGGCTGGGAGAGCAAATCAACGTAAACCTTGACAACCATGATGAATTCCTTTCGTTAGAAGTGGACCAAGAGACAATGTACCCTTCGATAATGATGATCGACCCAGAATTAACCACTCTTCAGGTAGGAGGCAATATGACGATTCAAAGACAGGTCATGTGAACGCCCGAACTTTGTCCTGTAAGTCTGGTAGGTATGACGGTGTTCTCGAAAAAAGAGGAGAGGGTTGTTTGACAACACTTTGCACCATTTTATGCATTGTACGAATGCATTAGTCCTTGTCGTTTCTGTTATCGGTGACAGCGACATCAATCTTTGAATAAAAGTGTATTTTTTTGTAAAGGGAGGCGAGAGGAGTAGGAAAAGAAGAAATGCCTCGAAACCAGAAGACAATTTTGACCTTCCTTTATCTCTAAATTTTATTCATATTATTATGTTTATTCTGATCGAAGGTCACGTTCTGCTACGGTGACACGACATTTGCTCCTGCGACAATTGCTCCGGGCTTTATTTCGTCTAAGATGTAGGGTTAGGGTTAGGGTTTCAATAGGGTTTTATGTTAGGTTTAGGGTTAGGTTTAGGGTAGGGTATAGTGTTGAATCCAGGGTTGAAGTTAGCCATTCGATTAGTGTATGAAATTTACAGCGGAGCAATTGTCGCCGGAGCAAATGTCATGGAATCTCTGCTACTACACGAAAACAAACAACAGCTAATGCCTAGTTTACATTTGGTCTGCGATTAGTCTACGGACTACGGAGCCCGTATTCTGCCCTTGCATTTTACCCCGACCCCAAACATAAAAAAATCTTCTATGTGAGCATGCCTTGAACCATAATGCATGGCCCTACAGAGGAATTTTTCCTGTTGGGGACTGGGGGGAAATGCAATGGATTATTAAAAATTTAGTGCAATTTCTTAGTTTTTGTGTTTTTGTGGGGGCGTCGACGTACCCTAGCGCCCGCTGCGTACAGTCATGATTCATTGGCTATTAAAGCAATGGCCTCGTTACTGTGAGCCCCCAGGATCAAAACCGTGTCGACGTGCTATATAAGTGCCCTTGTATGGGGCATTAATCCCCATTACTGTCAGTTATGACTTAAGGACGTAGGTCCCCTAGTTGATTAGCATAATAGCACATACATGCTTTTGCAGTCACGCAAAACAAACACTCCCCAATTATTATTCAATAAAATCTGAGAATGTATACTATTATCTAGATCTATTAGGAATACATCATTGTCAAAATCATTCAATAAATTGGGGTAAAAATAATTGTTCCACCATTATGACCAAAAGTGTATGTTGTAACATAATGATATGTAAGGTCTATCATTATTGATGAATAATAATCGGTTATAAGAACGTATGCATATCATGTGTTATCAAGTCATTTTGCAGTAGAAAGCATCTCGGTATATATGCGGCAGTTTCGATACTCCAAATTCCCTGAATTAAAGCTTTGGTAGAACAAGATAAGCCGTTATTTACAAAAAGTTTACACATATTTCTCGGTTCATTATTACATTTATTAGGTACAAAGATAACATTTTTTCGCTCATTCTCTTCATTGTACAATTATCGTCATTTTCAAGTTAAGGACTCATTTCTTCAAGTTCAAATCTTTCGTAAAAGAAAATGAAATCGCACACCAGGCAACCTGTCCAGGCTACACTTCCCAGGGGTCTGTGATAACCAACCAAGTATTTGGACAGTAAACATTATGATATTTTTTTTTTTTTTTTTTTTTTGTGGTTTACCATGTGACATAAGCGTTACTGTATAGGTGCAAAGGAAATCTTGCAGACGAAACAAAAAAACGAAAAAAGTATTTCATAATGAGTTGATGTGAGGGGAATAAAAAAGGAGGCGGGCAAAAATATAAAAACATTAAACAAAATCAAATTATGCGAAGGAGGGTGTATAAGAGTTGAAAAAAGGTAAAGAGAGCTAGGCGGGAAAGAAAAAGTGAAATGGATTTTCGGAAAATGCAACAACTTTATAGAGAGAGATGGAGGGAGAGGTAGAGAGAGAGAGAGGGAGAGAGAGAAAGAGAGGGGGAGGAGGGTGAGACGGCATTAAATGATAATAGTTTAAGAGTAGTACGGCGATTAAGAGAGAGAGAGAGAGAGAGAGAAGAGAGAGAGAGAGAGAGAGAGAGAGAGAGAGAGAGGGGAGGGGGTTGAAAGAGAGGAAGAGAAAGAGACGTGTAAATAAATATTGCCCGAAAGAGAGAGGAGATTTGTTATATGGGGAAACAAATGATTTGGGAAAATATCTTTTGTATCCTTCAAAACTGTTTTCGCTGGGAGTCTACTAAAATTGGATTGGATGTAGAGACTGAGAAGTAACGACATAGAGAGAGAGAGAGAGAAAGAGAGAAAAAGAGAGAAAGGGAGGGGAAGGGGTGAAAAAAAACACATACGAGGTATAGGAACAAATTAAGAGTTAATTGTGCAGTGCAAGTGTTAATGGAAAATTACCAAGAAAAAGAGGGTAGACGAAAAAACCATTTTCGAAGATGACAGGAAAAAAGAGCCGTAAAGAAAAACTATTCGATTGACTCAAAGGATTTATAAAGGAGGATTCAATATTAATAAAGACTTGTGGAAATTTGAGAGTCCTTCAAAAGAATTTTCACTGATAATCTATTTGTTATAGCTGTCCCTAAATGCATACAACGCTTCGTGCACTTCATCAAAGACAGGATTGAGACGATTCTTCACACGATCTATGAAGGCCCTAAGTTTAGGTCGCCCCTCTGCTACATCTCGTCCATTTACAGTGTTCTCCATGATCTGATTCGTGAGGGTAGTAAACAGAAAAAGAAAAAAAATGTGCATGTGGCTTGTGCTCATTTTCAAAGCATTTGGAATTGTAATGAAGGAATATTTTGATATTAAAATAGTTTACACTCGTTTTATTCGTCATATTTCTTAGTGAATCTTTAAACGGAGACGGCCCTAAAAACAAACCTTTAGATAAAGGGCAAATACTAATGTTGCATGAATCTATATAAATTTACGGTACTTCATATTGTATTGACAAGATGACAATTGAAAAAAGGCCATAATTTATATTACATGTACAGAACAGTATTAGAGTTATGATTTCTTTGTTTGTATTCTAGTATTGTACATCAAGTTAAAATATGTTAAATCAAATACCCTAATTGCCATCATATATACTAACCTCCGAGACGGCGAGCACGTCAGCGACAGAGATATCATCTCCAGCCAACCAATCGTTATCCTGCAAGAAAGCAGTCTCCAGCTTGTCTATTTGTTTGGTAAGGTTTTCTTCGTCTCTCTTCAACCTTTCCTCCGATGCATGCTGCTTTCCTCCAGAATATAACGGGATGAGAACCTGTAATTGTGAAATTTAACAACTAGGCAAATGAGTTTCCGATATTGTTGTATTCCATATAAAGCTGAAATAAACAATCAAGCGTGTGTCTGGTGATTTGAGTTGTGTAAATCTACTCATGATTACGTCGTAAAATGAGGCCAGTAGCAATATTTAAATAGTAAATCTCACCTCACTGATGAATATCCCACAGCATCCTCCTCTTGTTCCTGTATGGTGAAAGGCCATGTATTCATCAACTCTGGCTCTTTTCTTCAGGTCCTTTGGATACCAGTGGTCTGGGACTAGGTCTGAATACTTCGTTGCCAAGTACCGGATAATCGCCACACTAGATAACCATGAAAAACAAGTTCTTAATGATTTATATTGATATACCTTTTATCCTGCACTGATTTTCCGCGACATTACGTGTTATCAAAAGTATGTCCACTAAAAGTGCAGTGTATTGCAATTTTCGTTACAATTCATTAATGAAAACAACCAAACAAATGAAGCTGGTATTTCTTAAATATGTAGCGATGTGGTGCGCGAACACCTCGGGTACCCATACATTCCTAGATGGAGAAAGGCAACGTGAATTGCTAAAGGACGTTAGTGCCGGCCTGGGCTTCAAACCCTCAACCTTTTCATTTCATTTCAAATGACTGAACATTAATATTATATACCACGGCACCACCTTCTTTAAATCAGTTGTTCTTTATTTCCACTTTTATCAATTACTTATTTGTTCATTTGTAGGTCTTTTCTTCTTTGTGTATTCATTTGTTTTTCATAAAAAGTTCATAGTTTTCTAATATCTTGCATATTTTACTGGAATTTCAAAAATAGATAAATAAAATCCAGAGTCCACTTGAAGAATTGTTACCGGCTGACGAGGCCATCTGGCTAATAACACTGGAAAATGAACTGATTGACATCTTTTTCAATGTTGGGCTAATTCGTTTTAGGCCCTTTGTGAAAAATAACAATTTCAATACCAGTGCTATATTCTATTAATTATGAAGGGTTTGACCATGTTTATGTCGATTTTGTAATCGGTATAATCTGGTGTAGAACACCTTTATGATATTTTTTACCTGAGATAAATCCATATTTTCTTTCTTCAGAAATGTTCTTAGCTCAGATAAACGACAGTTATATCAAAATTAGAAAACAATTGGTTACCAATTCTATCTCACCCCATTTACCTTACCTATGATATTGTGCTTGCGCTTGATGTCATTTGAAAGCGTACCAATGTTGTTTTCCCGTCACCCGGATCGCCAGTAACTAATATTCTATCCATTTTTACCAACAAATATTTCATTATTTGTCCATTGTTTCATACGAAGTAATACTGTCTTATTCCATATAAAAAAACATTATATATCGCCACTCTCAGGAGGAAGGGGGGGGGGGGGTTCAAATATGTTTACTATCATTGAAATTTAGGTATCATCAGTGAATTTTTAAAACCCATTGCCAAATTTTTTTCATGTTAATTTAAAGAAAACATGAAACGCTTAATATAATAATTTCTCGAATAACAATACAGACAAGATACAAACTAAGGCAGCTTACGTTTCTCCTAAACTAAAGTCACCATCTTGAATGGCCGGCAATGTGCAGAGAGGAGTTATCTTTACAAACTCGGGTTTCTTATGATCACCTGTAAACAAAACCAAAATTATGTTGGAATTTTGTTTAGGGCACCACTAAATCAAATACATGTTCCTCTTAAGGGTCAACGTTTATTTTTCCTGCCGATTACTGTGAAGGATAATTTCAAATGTCATAAAATATGTACATGGTACCTTCTCAACTGTCATGGCTGCTATATCGCTATTTACACTTTACGTATACTATTAAGGGAATCATTACAATTCAAAGTACAAAAAAAATATATATATAAAGTTTGTCAATCCGGTTAACCGGACCTGAATCAACTAAAACCCTCAGAGGAACAGGTAAAGAATATTTCGAAGTACACAACAAATATTAACGATTTTTTATGTAGGCACATAGGGTACTTGAAAAAAAATATCACTTGCATATTTTGCTTGTTTACCTACAACTGTACCACTTCAAATATAAAGGTTAATGATATTTCAAAATAGGAAGAGGGGAAGGCAAATAATGGCACGATAGATAGTAGGCTTAGCAAAGGTCGAGGAGACAGGGCCACGTGCCTTCACATTTCCCATTATAAGATAGTGTCCTTCTCATGACTTATCTTAATACTAGATCGCCTTATTCTTCACATATAGTGCCCCTTAAAAGAAAAGAAGAATTAAATGATGGCAACACCAAAGGAAAACCAGTAAGGAAATTCATAAAAGATATAAAAAGAAATCTTGGAAAATAATGTAATAAATTATTGCTTATTTCTTGAAAAATATAGATGCAATACCAAATATTAAATTACCCCACCCCTAAATTTGCCAATTAAGACGGAAGTTAGAGAGAAGAGTAGGTGCTGTCATTGTTGTAATGGGTCAAAACAGACACAAATACTTTCAAAAAAATAAAACCCGGTAAATTTCAATAGCCTTGCCCATCACCGACTGAAATGTGTGAAGGTTACACTGACGCATCGGACATAGTTAAAGAACATGATTTCCATTGGATATACAGTAAGGATCTGAAATTACCATTCAGTTGATTTCTTGAATGTCTTTGCAATTGTGTATTGAGTGGACACATAACATGTTTATCAGTTAAAATGCTTTGTATTCTATTAATTCAAAGTTGAAATAATTGATACAAATCAATACTTGTTTCCTGATAAGGAAATAACAAAAAACATGTAACATATAACATGTTTAAGAGAACCCAAGTTGAATCATGATTTAACCTTTGCTGGAATAAATTGGTATCTTCAAGACGAAATTTGTTTGGATTATGGTTATCTAATGAATATACAAAAGAAAATATAAAACACGAAAAATCACGATATATATAGAAAAGAGAATTTCGAAGCTTACCAGTTCTCAGATTAATCGTTTCAATTTCAAAAGGGATTTTGGTATTTTTGAGAAAGATGATGAGTGCACGGCAAGGCTGTGAGCGAAGATCGACGTAAACCTTGAGCAACATGATGAATCTTGATCGTCAGAACAGAATTTAAGACTGTGTGTTCGTCGACAACGAAGATCAGAACAGAAGTGAATGGACTCAAAGCTGAATGCATTATATTGCAGTCCAAAGTTTATATATGGCGTAAATTGAATTGTCATGTAGGTATGATAGGGGTGTTCCTTTTTTTAAAGAAGGGGTTCGTGAAGGACATTCCTCCTTAAGCTACATATTGCATGACTTGATCAGAGATGCTCTTTTTGAGGTCGTAATTTAATGATTTAGAGAGAAAGTACCCGTTCCTTGTGATGGGTTAAGCGATGTTAATGTTAAAATCTGAACGTGTAAAAATTCGTCGCAAGAACTCATTTAGAGCGCTTGCTCCTGTTTTGACTAATTGACCTTTATACATTTTTGTTTTATTTGTCCGAATTTATTTGTTGAGATCAAAGGTCGGTTCTAGATAATACAATAATTTGAAGAGCACTGCCAATGATTGTGTAAAGATAGTGTTTGTCAGTGATTGACTTTAGACCCTGAATGGTGATGCCTCGGAATAGCGAACCTTCGGAAAAACTATATGTAGGCCCTTGGTCTACCTTTTCCCACTGTTTGCCAACAGTTTCATCATGTAAACGTCAAGAACGTCTAGAGCTAGGTCTTTATTTTTTCAACATCTGATAACTGCGCCCAACTTTCTCTCTTCATTTCGATTTTGTCTGAAATTGTCGATTCTTAACGAGTCTTAAATTAATATAAGATATTTATTCTCAGTTTTGAAGTACATGTACAACTGTACAATATGTTTGCACTAGGCTCTTTCCACCATCAAGCCCCACCCATGCCCACACACACGCAAGCACACACACACTTAATCTTCCTTCACTCTCTGTTTTACTCCCCTCTTCTTTTCTATCTAATTTTCTTTCTCCTTTTTGAATTTGTTTACAGTCATCGTCAATTTATATTGTTTGTATTTTATCTTATCAAAAATTGATATCACTGTTCATGTTTACTTTACAACTTTTAGGAGTCAATGATAACTAGCCAAGCATTTAGACGGATAACATAATGATATATTTGCAAGTTCAATAGTTTATTAACATGTTTAGTATTCATATGTTCATATTATATAACCTGTTTGTGATATAATGACTACATTATTTACGGGAGGGAGTTCTAATATCCGTATATATTTTGTATTTCTTTCTCGAGCGACCAATCATTTCATTCCCAAATTTCCGTCGAATTCAAAGACGTTTGTCCATGGACACCTTAGGATGTTTTGATAATCTTTTTAAAGTCGCTGGGTTGAATATGAGGATTGAGCGAACTAAAATGTTAATTTTCATGCAGCCCTTAGTCTTGAAAAGTGAAAATTAAATAAATTGTTTTAAAATTACATTAGAAATTTCTAGAAACTTAAATGCTAACGTTTTCTAAAATGGAATGTGACATTGAAAAAGTAAGGGTCAACATTTTACCTCAGGTTTTGTTTTTTGTGAGGTGGAGTGGTCTTGTGGATAAGCCAGCGGAGTGTGGATCATTTGGTTCGTGTTTCAAATCCGCAGTCACTACATTATTTGACGAGACAAGAATCTGCATTTGCCACCCAGGTATAGGAAATGGGTACCTGGTAGGAATTTATTCTTTGAATTCTTGTATTGCCTGAGGGCCTTGAGCATCCTTTGGGATGGATATGCGGGCAATATAAATGTAGCAATTATTATAATTTCTTGAAACCAACATTTGCAGACGGATATAAACACGGAAATTATTTCATTACGACTTGATATGAAGAACAAATAAGACCCCAACATATATATATATATATATATATATATATATATATATATATATATATATATATATAGGATCTTCATCTGGTGTTGTTAGTCTTCGTTTGACGAAGAGGTACCGTGATCGTGGTTAAGAGGTATGGAAAGCTTAGCTGTAGGTAAAGAAATAGTCGGCGAATAGCTGAAATATTGATTTTAAAATCGGATTGGATGTTCGGAAACGTAAAACGCTGGAGAGAGACAGAGAGAGAGAGAGAGAGAGAGAGAGAGAATGGGCGAGGGGGGGGGGGGGAGATGGGAGAGGGATGGAAACGTAACACTTTAAGGAAATTTAGAAATTAAAAGAGTATAAATTTAAACAACATTTTAAAGCTAAATAGACTCAAAGGATTGAGAAGATAAACCGATATTAAAAACTGTTGAAAATGTAAGACTCCGTCAAAAGCATTTCCACGGAGAATCTATTTGTTGTAGCTGTCCCTCCACGCATACATGAATTCGTGGACTTAATCAAAGACAGGATTGAGACGATTCTTTACACGATCTACAAAGGCCCTGAGTTTAGGTCGTCCCTCTGTGACGTCCCGTCCATTCACAGTGTTTTGCATCATCTAATCCGTCAGAAGAGCAAAAAAAATACATATTTTAATAAGGCCTTTGCTCGTTTGAAAGCATTAGGAATAGTTAAGAAAGAATAGTTAGGAAGGAATGGTAAAGAAGGAATTTTTTGATATGAAAAGTTACGTCGTACTTGTCGCATCCTTCATAGCCTTGATACAAAATGATATTTAGTTCCTTTTCCATTATCCTGATATATAATTGTATTATTTTTCAATAAGATTTATTTTGCAACGACTGTAAACATTTACCGAAATAGTTTTAGATAATTTTGATGCAATTATATTCTAGGTTATGGAAAACATTTACTAATGCAGGCCCATGAAAAACCATATAACAACAAGTTTTGCTGGGAAAAAAATTAATCTCCGTTTGTTCCAGGATTCATTTCTTGGATTTTCTGTTAATGTTAGCTTCTTAGTTTATCGTAAAAAAGGGAATATGGAGCTATATACACTAAGAAAATATGATATTCATCTTTAAATAAAAAGCAAAAAGAAATTGTTCAGTTAATCCTTCCGAAGTATAGGTGGGCCGATTACTAACAACACAACCATCAAAACTAATATTGCATGACTCTATATACTTCGCATTGGTACATGTTATATTGACGAGATGATGCTGGGAAAAGGTGATTACTATGATTACAAAAGTAAGGGATACGAATATTAAGTTCTAATCTATCTATATCTAAATTAATTTTTAGCTATGATTTCTTCGTGTATATTCTACATGGAGTTAATGAAATAGCATCACGTCAATGTTCCTTACCTCGGGAACAGCGAGCACGTCAGCGACAGATATATCATCTCCAGCCAACCAATCATTATCCTGCAAGAAAGCATTCTCGAGCTTGTCTAGTTGTTTGGTTAGGTTTTCCGTGTCTGTCTTCAACCTTTCCTCCGATGCGTGCTGCTTTCCTCCGGTGAACAACGGAATGCCGACCTAGAAGGACGCAAATGACTTGGTTATATCGCCTTAGGTGAGAGTCAAGAAGCCCGTTTAGTTTAAAAAAAAAATCATTTGGTTGTCCTCGCGCCCGCTTGTTTTTTTTATTATTTTTTAAAAATTTGTATTATTATTATTTTTTAAAATTTTATTTATTTATTTATTTTTGTTTTGTTGGGGGGGGGGGAGGGGGGAAGCAATCTCAAATGCCAAACATACTATTTATGAATTTACAAGGATCAAAATGCGTCCCGTTGCCAGTTTCGTCTTTTTAGTACGCAATTCTGTATTTATTAAACTTTCTATGTCAAAATGCCGTTCATTCAAATCAGGTCCTAAGCATTCTTAGATTAATTTTAAGCCCATCTGTACTAGTTTACAGGAGGGATTAGACCACCCTGCAAAGTCACTGGACAGGTGGTTATCTCATCAAATCAGCTCTCAGTTAACAAAATATAAAGAGGATCATGGGGGACCAATGGTCACTGATTAGGCATTGTTTGCTATATAGAGGGCGCAAGTAGCTATAAGTAGTACAATGGAGATTTAAAAGGTGCTATATTTCAAAGCCAAAAATCCTTTTTTTTTTGTGTTGGCCTTGATATTCATTGTACATTAAACTAATCTTTTACCATATAAAAGTTTTTTTTATAGACTTTGTTTGTTTAAAAGCTTGACATCCCATTTTTTTCTTAAATGCCTTTTGGAAAAAAAAGAGAAGAAAAAGAAAATCTGCCCGCCCGCCCCTACTCTAAAAAAGCAATCGAGCACAACCAAATGATTTTTTTGGGCCTAACTTCATGCAATCGCCCCATAAGGAAAAGTTATCAATACAAATGTCCCTTACCCTAATATTTTAAGACTGGCACTGGGTATTTCTTGATGGGACATCTAATTCGCTTAGCGTGAGACATGTACACCCATTTATGGTATCGAGTTATGATACACTGCACAAGGAAAACTGCCGACCATACCCCTTCAAAGAGTTACATCCAGAAACAGACCAATGTGTTGGTATGGTATTTTTGGGTCCTGAGATAGAATTATGAATTCGACTCGTGTAAATTTAGGCATAAACTGCGGAGCGATGTGGTGGAAACAACAAAGAACAAATGTTGATTCTAAATTTCATTTCATAAATACCGCAAACAACCATATTTTTGTATTTTGCTTCAACGCCAATTTCCTTTTGAGATCACGGTGGTTTAGAATCAATTGCTTCTTAGTACGTATTTTATTAAATATCGTTTGTAGAGTTTATTAATCCCTGGTAATAATTATACCAAACATAATGCCTGAAAGGGTGTGACTGATTTCTAGAAATTAAAAAAGAGAATAAAGCAGCTTACGTTTCCCCCATGCTGAAATCCCCATCTTCAATAGCAGGTGCTGTCCGCAGAGAAGTCACTTTTCCATAGTCGGGTTTCTTATGATCACCTGAGAACAGAGCAAAATAACAATTCATGTACTACTACTACTAGTAGTAGGAGTAATAGTAGTGGAAGTAGTAGTAGTAGTATTAGTAGTAGTAGTAATAGTTGTTATTATAGTAGAACTAGCAGTAATGGTAGTAGTGGTGTAGTAGAGGTGTCGTGGCCGAGTGGAGTCCCGCCGCGACACTCATGTCCTTTGGCAAGATATTAATCTACATTTGCCACACTCGAACCAGGCGAGGTCAATGGGTACCTGGTAGGATTATTCCTTGAAATGCACTGTGCGCTGATCAGTAGGGGTAGTCGTAGTGGTAGTGATAGTAGTAGTAGTAGTAGTAGTAGTAGTAGTAGTAGTAGTAGTAGTTGGAGTAGTAGAAATAGTAGTAGTAGTAGTAGTAGTAGTAGCAATACTAGTAGTAGTAGTAGTAGTAGACTTTATCCACTCATGTACATTTGATGACTTCTAACGCGGTCCACTGGCTCGAATTCCTCAGTACATACGGATGGTATTGTCCTTCTCACGATTGAAATTCAATCAAATACTGACATGTTTATGTTTACTCTTTGATTCACCCAGAGTGCCTTTTTAAACGGCCCATGTCTCCCAATAAAAGAAGGGAAAAAAGTCGCCTGATGGCGTCTTGAAAGAAGGGCGAAATTCGGCAAAGAAACAAACCAACAAACAAACAGAAGAAAACAAAAACATTAAAAAATAGATTTTACATCGAATCGATAGTATACAGGGTACAGAGAATCCATGATTGTATTCGCATGTGATTAAAAATACTCGATCAATCTTAACCCCCCCCCCCCCCCACAAAAAGAGAAATAAAAAATAAATGAATAAATAAATGAATACAAACAAAAATAAGTTAAAGACATTACTATGTTTGCAAGGAATACCCCGAATATAAAACCCAAAGATATTATGTTTATCATTAAACATGTACTGTAAAACTTTTGTATGCAATTATATTTTTCAAGAAAGAAATGATATTAAAACACATACTGGTATTAAATCAATCGTCACTATCAAAGAACCAAAACATAAAAACATATCAAACAGGTAGAGAAAATATTGAGTTGAATCGTCGTATAACGTGAGAATAACAAACAAAATCGTTTTTGCAAATATTTTAGTCTAAAAGAAAAAGAAAAAATCCTCGAGATATCATAAAATGAATCTGCTACGAAATAAACTTTTAGCGCTTACCTTTTACCAGGTCTATGTTTTCAATCTCGAAAGGAATCTTGGTGTTTTTCAGGAAGATGACGAGAGAACGGCTAGGCTGCGTTCGAAAATCAACGTAAACCTTGACAACCATGATGAAACTTTAATACTTTATCGTCAGAAGAGGACCCGGAGATAATGTGTCCTTCAGCAATACAGATCAAGACAAGGGTGACTGATCTTCTATAGGGTGGACGACGTGGACTATGATGGTTAAGGTGAATTTACTGTCAGAAAAGTTAGACATTATTTGTTTCCTAGGACGAATTATATCATCATCAGCGAACTAATCATGTAAACTTAAAGAAAATTCTGAATGAAAGGGTGATTTTCTTAAAACACAAGAAAGACAAAATACAAAATATACCAGTTTACCTATTTCCAATGCCAACTCACAATCTCGGAACATATATGACTTGCATATTTTGCTTGTTTACATACCATTGTACAACTTCAAATATGGATTATAATGATCGTTCAAACAGGAAGAGGGAAGGCAAATATTACTATATATGATAGATAGTAAGCTTGGCGAAGGTCGAGGAGACAGGTGTGTGTACTGTGCAAGTGAATTTTTACAGACGTGTATCAATCACAAAAGAAGTGAATTTTTACAGACGTGTATCAATCACAAAAGACTGTTTCTAGGGACGGACCTTTGACGTCAGCATCTGAAAGACGTGACTCAGTTTCGAACCGGGTCAGCCTGAGCCAGTTTGTAGGCGAAGACAGGGAGCTGACCAAATGAACATGCCGCTAGACCAACTCACGTCTCACAGTTGCATAGTGCCAATGCGAGGGTAATACAAGTGTAGAAATTCGAAAAGGAAGAAAAATGAGAAAAGTAAGAAAACCATGAAATAAATTATCACTTTATTCATTGACAAATCTAGATTTAACTCCAATATCAGAATAAATTATTATGTTGGAACCGGTCGAAGCACGAACGCAAATACTTTCGAAAAATCAACCCAGGAAATTTCAAATTATCTAATGCATATACAAAATAAAATATAAAACACGAAAAATCACGATATATATCCGTTAGAAAATAGAATTTCGAAGCTTACCAGTTCTCAGATTAATCGTTTCAATTTCAAAAGGGATTTTGGTATTTTTTGAGAAAGATGACGAGTGCACGGCAAGGCTGTGAGCGAAGATCGACGTAAACCTTGAGCACCATGATGAATCTTGATCGTCAGAACAGAATATAAGACTGTGTGTTCGTCGACAACGAAGATCAGAACAGAAGTGAATGGACTCAAAGCTGAATGCATTATATTGTAGTCCAAAGTTTATATATAGCGTAAATTGAATTGTCATGCAGGTATGATAGGGGTGTTCCTTTTTTTTTTTTTTTAAAGAAGGGGTTCGTGAAGGACATTCCTCCTTAAGCTACATATTGCATGACTTGATCAGAGATGCTCTTTTTGAGGTCGTAATTTAATGATTTAGAGAGAAAGTACCCGTTCCTTGTGATGGGTTAAGCGATGTTAATGTTAAAAACTGAACGTGTAAAAGTTCGTCGCAAGAACTCATAAGAGCGCTTGCTCCTGTTCTGGCTGATTGACCTTTATACATTTTTGTTTTGTTTGTCCAAATTTATTTGTTGAGATCAAAGGTCGGTTCTAGATAATACAATATTTTGAAGAGCACTGCCAATGATTGTTTAAAGATAGTGTTTGCCAGTGATCGACTTTAGACCCTGAATCGTAATGCCTCGGAATAGCGAACCTTTGAAAAAACTATATGTAGGCCCTTGGTCTACCTCTTCCACTGTTTGCCAACATTTTCATCATGTTAACGTCAAGTAAGTCTAGAGCTCGGTCTCTATTTTTTAACATCTGATTACTACTCCCTGATTTCTCTCTTCATTTCGGTTTTGTCTGTAAGTGTTAATTCTTAACGAATCTTAAATTAATATAAGATATTCACTTTCGGTTTTCGAGTAAATATCAAACTTTACAATATGTTTGCACTAGGTTCTTTCCACCATCAAGTCCCATCCACACCCACACACACGCACACACTTTTTTCAATAGTTTTTTTTGTATTGATTCAAAACAATACAAATCAATCTAAGAAATTAAATACAGTTGTTTTTCATCTTGACATGAACTCAAAACATTTTCATTACAATACATTGTACGATTGATATGAAACGAAAAAAATGAAATCAGTTGTAACAGAGAAAACAGGTACACAAACACACACCCACACAGACACACGCACGCGCGCACACACACACACACACACACGCATACACACACACACCAACACACATTCTCGTTTTTACCTCGCTCTACCTTTCTGTTTCATCTTCAACCTCTATTCATTCATTGTCACATTTCTGTATCTGACATTTATTGCTTGTTATTTTCTCATTAACATAAATTGATTTCCAACGTGCTACTGTTTACGCTTACAACAAACTTCTAAGGAGGCAATGATAACAAGACAAACATATAGACAGATAACACATTGATTGATTTGCAAGTTCAACAGTTTATTAACATGTTTAGTATTAATCATGTTTTTATTAGACAAGTATAGGTAGTTCTAATATATGGAGACATATTTTCTTCCAGCGAACAATCCCTATATTCCCAAATGTTCGGTCGAACTTCAAGACATTCGTTCATGGACATGTTATGATATTTAGATAATCTGTTTAAAATTGCTAGGTTGAATGTGAGGATTAGGCAAATAGATAATAGTTTAAGAGTAGTAGGGCGATTAAGAACAAAGGAGAGAGAGAGAGAGAATGAGAGAGAGAGAGAGAGAGAGAGAGAGAGAGAGAGAGAAAGAGAGAGAGAGAGAGAGAGAGAAAGACGTGTAATTGATCATTACCCGAAAGATAAAAGAGAGATGAGATTTGGAAAGAAAACGTTTGGGGAAAACATTTGTTTGTAACCTCTAAAACCGTGTTCGCTGAGATCCTACTAAAATTGGATAACATTTTCGGAAAACGTTCACAACTTTAGAAAGAGATAGACGGAGAGTGAGGGAGGCGGGGGGGGGGGGGGTAACAAAAACAATTAAAGGAATAAGAGAAAATTAAAAGATAATAGTGCAGATCAAGTGTGATATAGTGATTAAAAAGACGAATAGGGGAGATGAAGAAAGTAAAAACAAGAGTTGAGGAAATGAGAAACATTTCGATAGACTCGAATAGGTTTGAGTAGATGATTCGATATTAAAGACTCTTGTGAATATGAGGTTCATTCTAAGGCAAATTCACTATGAATCTACTTGTTGTAGCTATCTCTCCATGCATACAAGGCTTTATGGACTTCATCAAAAGTAGGGTTGAGACGATTCTTCACACGATCTACGAAGGCCCTGAGTTTAGGTCGCCCTTCTGTGACATCTCGTCCCTTTATTGTATTCTGCATCATCTGATCGGTGAGATGAGTAAAAAGACAAATATTTTAATATGTGACCTTTGCTCGTTTAAAAGTATGATGAATATCAACAAAAGGAATGATTTGACACTTATGTGACGCATAGTTCATTCCCTAAATTTTGAATTAACTTTCGTTTTTTTTTATAACGAAAACACATTGGTAGCATTGTCGAGATAATTTTGTTTTCAGTTTGCAAAAAATATTTGCTTTGACTGTCAGATTGACAAAAATATGGCAATAACATTTCATTGTAGTTATATTTTTGAAATACAAAACAACTTGATATGATACACGCCCATATCCTAAACAATATTTCTGATATGTCATTACATATAGAACCAGGAATGAAAGTTCTGAGTAATCTGTTTATTCCCGGATGTACAGTTAACATTCGTTCTATAACGAATTCCTCAATACATCTCAGAAATTAAGATGGCCCTATATAGGAATTAACAGAATAAAACATCCTACTTTAAATAAAAAGCAAATCCTAAATGTTGCATGAATCTACATCAGTGAATTTGAGTTAATTCATATTGTAATGAAAAGGTGACACTGGAAATTATCACGTAGTCATGTACACAACATAATTTCAGTTGATTATGATTTCTTCGTTTACATTCTAAGTTAAATCAAATACCATAACTTCCATCAAACTTACCTCCGAGACGGCGAGCACGTCAGCGACAGAGATATCATCTCCAGCCAACCAATCATTATCCTGCAAGAAAGCCGTCTCCAGCTTGTCTAGTTGTTTGGTTAGGTTTTCCTCGTCTCTCTTCATCCTTTCTTCTGATGCGTGCTGCTTTCCTCCGGACCACAACGGGATGAGAACCTGTAATTGTGAAATTTAACAACTAGGCAAATGAATTTCCGATATTGTTGTATTCCATTTACACATAAAATAAACAATCAAGTATGGGTCTGGTGATATTAGTGTATAATCATCTTTTTATGATGACATCACTATGTCGTAAAATGAGGCCGGTAGCAATACTAGATAGTAAATCTCACCTCACTGATATGCATCCCACCGCATCCTCCTCTAGTTCCTGTATGATGAAAGGACATGTATTCATCAACTCTGGCTCTTTTCTTCAGGTCCTTCGGGTACCAGTGGTCTGGGACCAAATCTGCATACTTCGTTGCCAAGTACCGAATTATCGCCACACTAGAAAACCATGAAAGACAAATTCTTAATGATTTATATTGACATACTTTTTATGTTGAGCATTAATCCTGCAGTGATTTTTCCGCGGCACTACGTGTTATCAAAAGTATGTCCCCTATTAAAAAGTGCGTGTAATGCAATTTTCGTTAAATTTCAATAACGAAAACAAACAAATTAGGCTGATAAAGCTGGTATTTCTCATATATGCAGCGATATGGTCTGGGCTTCGAACCCTCAACCTTTTCCTTTCAATTCAAATGACTTCACATTTATATTATTTACCACGGCACCACCTTCGAGTCAGTTGTTCCCACTTATTATTTCCCACTTTTAACAATTACTTATTTTGTGTAGCGACCTCTGCAACATAACTCAACTATCCCTTTAACTATGGTATTGTGCTTGCACTCAATGGTAATTCTAAACGGGTAACTAATATCCTATCCATTTTTACTAACAAATATGTATTAATTGTTCCATACGAAGTAATACTGTCTTATTCCATATGGAATCATTGATTTTTAGCTATCATCAGAAAATATGAAATGGTTAATATAATAATTTCTCGAAAAACAACACAGACAAAATACAAACTAAGGCAGCTTACGTTTCCCCCATGCCAAAGTCATCATCTTGAATGGCCGGCACTGCGCAGAGAGGAGTGATCTTCACAAACTCGGGTTTCTTATGATCACCTGTAAGAAAGGCAAACTGATTGATTAAGGGTTCATCAGACTCTCTGTTTAAATTATTTTGGGAACATTTTTAAAGGGCACCACTAAACAAAAACATGTTATAAACTATGTACCTGGTACCTTCCTACCTGTCATGACTGTTATGTCGCTATTTATACTTTACGGACACTTAGATAATAATAATAATAATTATAATTCAAATTACAACAACAACAACTGCAAAAAGCACCTTGACGATGTTTTCAAAGTAATACAGTTTGTCTACCCACCCGGTAAACCGGACTGCATCAACTAAAACCATCAAAGGAACAGGTAAAGCATATTTCGCAGTACACAACAAATATTAACGATTTGATGCAGGCACAAAGGGTACTTCGAAACAAATATGACCTGCATATTTTGCATGTTTACCTACCACTGTACCAATTATAATATGGATTATAATGATCGTTCAAAACAGGAAGAGGCCTCAGGGGAAGGCAAATATTGGTACGATGGATAGTAAGCTTGGCGAAGGTCGAGGATACAGGGCCACGTGCCTTCACATTTTCACTCGTAATAAGTGTCCTCCCCATTAATACCTATCTTAATACTAGATCGCTTTATTCTTCACCTATAGTGCCCCTTTGCAAAAAGGAAGAATTAAGTGGTGGCAACACAAGGGAAATACTTTATTGTTTATTTTGTGACAAATATAGATGCAATGCCAAATATCAAATTATCCCACCCCTGAATTGTGCAAGTGAGACGGAAGTTAATAGTGAGAAGATTATGTAAATGTGCTTAAAAATGCCATTGCTGTAATGGGTCGAAACACATTCGCAAATACTTTCAGAAAAATAAAACCCTGGCCCATCACCAACTGAAATGTGTTAACGTTACAATGATGCATTGGACATGTTTAAAGAACATGATTTCCATGGGATATGTAAGATTGGTGGTTATTTTACCTGACTGACGAGGGACCTGGTAATGAGGATTAATGCCGTACCAAAGGGCAATAGCGCATCGACTTGGTTTCGAACCCGGGTCACCGGAATACGAGACCACTGCTCTACCGACTGAGCTATCGCGCCTCCTATCGCGATATCCAGTAACGATCTAAAATTACAATTCACTTCTTTTCTTAAATTTATTTGCGGTTGCGTATTGAGTGAAAACATAACATGTTCATCAGGTGAAATGCATTGTATTCTATTATTTTAACGTTAACATTTATTTATACACATCAATCTTGTTTTTTGACAAGAAAATAATAAAACATGTAACATATAACATGTTTGAGAAACCCAGGTTGAATCATTATTTAACATTTGCTGGAATAGATTGGTATCTTCAAAGAAAGATGTTAAAGGGCCATTCTGATCAAAACGGGCTTAGAAAATGAAAAAGAGACATTCAGAAGAATTGTTGACGGAGATTTTTTTGTATAGAAATCATCAATAATTCTAGAATCTAGCTTTAAAAATGACGACTCAGAAAGGTAAGAAAAAATGCCCAGTTTCGAAGCTGTATTGCGCAATAGCATATGACATCACTGCAGGAGACAACATCGGCATTATACTCAACATAACACAGCACTTGAAAGAAGATACTCTACTATAACTTAGTCAAGTACGGATCCAGGGGAGGGGGGCGAGCGGGCCTTGACCCCCCCCCCCCCCCCGCAAAGAGAGAGAGAGAGAGAGAGAGGTTAAAGAAGAGAGAGGGAAAGAGGAGAGAAAGGGAAAGAAAGAAGATGAAGAAGAAAAAGGGGAAAAAAGAAGGAGACGGGGGGAGGGGGCGAAAGGGCCAGCTGTTACCCCCCCCCCCCCCCAATCAAAAATTAAGAGAGAAGGAAGGGAAGGAAAAGAAAAAAGGAAAAGAGGATATAAGGAAGGAAAAAGAAGAAGGAAAGAAAAGAAGGGGGATATCAGTTACAATTTTCCCGCCAACAAGTTGAAGTTTTTTTTTTGGCCCCCCCCCCCCAAAAAAAAAAAAAAGATGGGGGGGGAGGGAGGGAAAGGGAAAGAGGAGAGCTAAAAGGGAACCAAAAGGAGAAAGAAGAAAAGAAAAGGGTGAAAAGAAAGGGAGAACTGTTGCGATTAATCCCGCCACCAACGTGCGGATCGAGGGTGGGGGGCGAAAGGCTCTTGCCTTCCACAGCAAACCTAAAAGAGATAGAAAGAAACGAAGGGAAATTAAAAGAGGAGAGAAAGGGAAAGAAAAAAAAAGAGAAAGAAGAAAGGTATGAGAGATCAGTTGCGATTTTTCCCGCCAACAAGATGTGGATCGGAGGGGGGGGGGGGGGGGCGGGGAGGGCAACTGGCGTACTGATGGGGGAGAGGGAGGGGGCTTGGAGGGGGGATGACAGATTCCCCCAAATATAATTCAGACGTGGTTTATTTCTTATTCGTTACCGGTGATGTACAAATGTTGCTGAAATAGCATAATTTTCCGCGATTTTTCCTAAATCTTTAATTAGGTGATACGTAACGAAGTCAACGTATCACCTTTTGATTTCGTCAAGATTTTTCTTTATTATTATTATTATTATTATTAGGTGATACGTAACGAAGTCTACGTATCACCTTTTGATTTCGTCAAGATTTTTATTATTTATTATTATTTTTTATTTATTTATTTATTATTATTCTTCCTCGAATTTGTTCGCAGGATATCTCAAGACTGAATGAAGCCATTGTCATGAATCTTTCAATGATGATAGATCTTAGTCGAACTTAGAACTGCGTGAATTTTCAAAGACTCAAAGTTATCGTGACGTCATCCAGGCGCCATTTTGTAAAAATCAACTTATGATCATATCTTCATAACGGAAAATAATTTTACATTCATATTTATCAAGATTAAGATCAATATCCGTCGGGCCAATTTGAGGTCAATAAATGCGCGCAAAAATGCGCGTACGCGTAGGCACGCGCGTTAATGCGCGCGTAAAATTCTAAATTGCTCAAAATCGTCTTAAATTTTTTTTGCATACGTTTCAGGCCATTATAAGCATTTCATAAAAAATCACGCAAAACACGCATTTTTGCACGTTTTCGTTCGTCACGGCCGAACGAAAAATAATTTCTCCGCAAAAGCTTTTGACCGAATATTCCTCATATTTTTCCGGAAAATTTGATACCATGTTTAGCTCTTTATCACTATTAATAACGGAATGAGCGTCCGTTCAAGATAACCGTCCGCACGCGCGATTTTTGCAATACATAGCATATAAGGGCAAAAACATGCCTATAAAAAGTCCAGTGGGATGAATAAGGACTGCCAATTTTGTTGTCATATTTAGATAGAGTGTGAGTCGGAGGTATGATTTCATATCTCATTTGGCCATTAACTACATCCTGACGTCATCATAATGGCCTTGGAAGTCAAAAATACAAAATTGCATATTATGACGTCATTGTATTTATGGAAAATGTAGTGTATTTCTCTCAATATTCATCGATTCTCTTTGAAATGTCGATATGTTGTAGATAAGGCAATTCGCTACAAGATCACTTTTCACTAACTTTCATTTTAATGAGGTCATCATAGTACAAAATTCAATTAAAGGCCACATGTCAGAATTTTCGTCATTTGCGTGTTATGTCTATGGAAGGTGAATTTCGTTCACATCATGAATCTACATGGCATTCATCTATGAGCACTATCTATCTTATGTGTGCTCTGTTTTCTCCCAAATTGGGGTATGTTATAGCTGAGACCATGGGCTATAAAAACGGTGTACTTTGTTTTTTCATCGGATGTTGGGATCATGTCGGAATTTTCAATCGAAAGTTGAAATTGCAAATTTTGACGGAATCATTAGGTGATACGTAACGAAGTCTACGTATCACCTTTTGATTTCGTCAAGATTTTTATTATTAGGTGATACGTAACGAAGTCAACGTATCACCTTTTGATTTCGTCAAGATTGTTATTAGGTGATACGTAACGAAGTCTACGTATCACCTATTGATTTCGTCAAGATTGTTATTTATTATTATTATTAGGTGATACGTACGTAGACGTATCACCTTTTGATTTCGTCAAGATTTTTTAGGTGATACGTACGTAGACGTATCACCTTTTGATTTCGTCAAGATTTTTATTATTTATTTATTTATTTATTTATTTATTATTATTCTTCCTCGAATTTGTTCGCAGGATATCTCAAGACTGAATAAAGCCATTATCATGAAACTTGCCATGATGATAGATCTTAGTCTAACTTAGAACTGCGTGACTTTTCAAAGACTCAAAATTATCGTGACGTCATCCAGGCGCCATTTTGTGAAAATAAACTTATGATCATATCTTCATAACGGAAAGGAATTTTTCATTCATATTTATCAGGAAGAAGATCAATATCCATCCGGTCAATTTCAGATCAATAAACGTGCGCAAATGCGCGCGTGCGCGTTCGTACGCGCGTTTACGCGCGCGAAAAAAATTAAAATGCTCCAAATCATCCCAAATTTTTTTTGCATACGTTTCAGGCCATATGGAGCATTTGACAAAAAATCACGCAAACGCGCATGCGCGCGCGTTTTTTTGCGCGTACTAGCATTTTGCAACATAGAATCGCCGAATGTTCTCTATCATCATATTTGGTACATCTTTCCAAGCATTTTGATAACTTGTTCACCTTTTAATAACGCAATGAGCGTCCGTCAAAGTTGACAGCGCGCGCGGACCTGCGTTATCTTTATCCACAATACATGAGCAAAAACATGTCTATACAAAATTCTTTGTAACTCTTCAGAATAGATAGAAACTCCCAATATTTTTTCATATTTAGATAGGTTATAAGTTGGAGATATGATTTCATGTCTCATTTGACCCTCAATTAACTCATAACGTCATCATAATGGCCTCCAAACTCAAAATTTCAATTTGCATATTATGACGTCAGCATAATTTTGGAAAATTGATTGTATCTCTGTAAATATTGATTGATTTTCTTTTAAATTTTGATATGTTCTACCTGAGACAATTTTCTACAAATAAATAATCCA